GTGTGTGTGTGTGTGTGTGTGTGTGTGTGTGTGTGTGTGTATGCATGTGTGTTATGTGTAGTATAATGTGACTATGGTACCTGTGTTCGTATGTTAGAATAGAGGAACACATGCGGAGTTAGAGAACAACCTTGGATGTCAGCCTGTGCTTTCTACCTTGTTTTGCTTGCTGCCATGTGTGACAGGCTAGCTGGTTCAGGAGCTTCCCAGGGATGCTTCTGCCTCTGGGATTAGACACATACCTGCCCAGCCATCTCCTCAGCTCAAGAAAACTAACTCTTAAGGTCTGGACAGAAGAAGCAGGTTCCATGAAGGACAATAGAAGGATCCAGGCCATGGGGGAAAATCCTAGGAAGAAGGTGAACTACAGAAGCCGGGAAGGAGAATGTAGGTGGGGATACCAAGCCTAACAGAGGCTCCTGCACGGCACCAGGAGGGTGCCATGCTGACATTGCCGTGACTGAATACTGTGGAAGCCTTACTCCGCTTACCACTTTGCCAGCGTTACCTCCTGCTGTCACTAAACAGGGACACTGGGTAAGAGACAGGATCCCACCTTCTAGCTCTCCCTGCCCAAGGCAGATGCAATACAAGAACTGAGTCCTTCTGTAGTGCTCCCTCCCCTGGTGGCTTTTCCACTGAGCTGCATGACCACCTGTTTCTTCCAAACAGCCTCTGAGGATAATCGTCCAATTTCTCTGCACAGTAGGATGGGATGCTTGAGATTTCCGAGTCTGGGTCTCTTTCTTGGACCACTGAGGGGCAGGTTGAGTCTCTGGTAGGTAGAAAAGAAGCGTGCATTGCCTGGAGCCCCTGAGTTATCGCTGCCACCTGTGTGTGGGGTGGTGAAGGGTGCACGTCTCTACCTCCTTCCCAAGAGCAGGCTCTCCAGCACTCACCTCCTCCACCCAGTCCCTTGACTGGCAGGGTTTTCTTTCCTGCCCGGGATTTATACCGTTACTCACTTTCACAAGCACCCAGGCTGACAGTCTACAGACACCAACTACCCTGCTGCCAAGTCGATGGCTGAGAAGGAGATCAGCAAACCCCAGCTAGGAGTCAGACACCCAGTGGATCTATCCTCTGCTCCTTCAGCCAAGCACCCACCCCCTGGAGCCGGCTCCTGGGGGCCCTTGCCAGGTTCCTGCCATCCACAGGTCCGGGAGCCTGCAGGGGAGACCTAGATGGCACGGAGCGCTGGGGCTTCGCCGGCTGCATCCATGCACGTGCACGCAGGCAGGTGTCCCTCCCCTCCCCCTCGATGCCTGCGCAGGGCTGCGGTCCTTTGTGTCTGAGTCTCCTCGAGCGGGCGTCTGCTCTAGACTGGGTGGGGTGGGGGAAACCGGAAGCAGCGTCTGGGGCTTGAAAAATGTCTAGAAGGGTGGACGTTTTCTTTCACAACCCTGACCCCTGCAGGGCCTCCACTCCCACCCCCATCACCACCCCCCACCCCACCCCCGCGCAAGCCCAATCACCATCAGCTCACCTCGCTTTCTCTGTTTCCTCTCCCACCCACCCCCGCCCAGGTCATCTGGATGTCATTGTCGCTGCGGTTCCCCAGCTGTGGCTTTGCGTTCTCTGCCCCAACATGCAGGGAACTACACGTGCTAAAACACCCCTATCCTGGGGACCTGTACCCCTACAACTCCACTTCTGGGGGAGATTCTCCAGGTACCTCATTCCCCGGCTACATGATCCCCATAAAGAATGGGCTTTATCCCAATAGAGGAACGAAATGGCCCTTGGGGATATTTAACTAGAGCAGGAGAAACCGCCAGGAAGGGGACTGCATTTTTGTTGAAGAGCGGGTGGGCTGCTTGTGAGGTTTGGGCCAGTTTAGTTTTTTTTCCTAAAGACGATACAGCGAGAGCAATCTATTTCTCCGCTCCTCTGAATGCAGACTTTTCGCGGCAGGGGCGGGGTGAGGTCTATGCAGTGAACCCCATTAAAATGTTTTCCTTTTATTTAGCCTAAAAAGCTGTTGCTGAGTTTAGTGACTGCTTATTTTATGTATGTATGTATACTTATATACATATTAACTGGTGTGCTGAAAAAGATCAGCAAAAATCTAGGACATTGTTGCTTTAAGAATCTAGACAAAAACACCTTAAATGAACTCTGCAGCAGACAGATGAAGAAAAAAAAAAAGCCCTTCTCTGGCCCTTGCTGCTTTTTGCCATTATTCATGATGTAATTTTTCAGGTGTTAGTTTGGCAGAGAAAGATTGGAACTGGGCTTGTTGCTAGGACATGAATGAAGAAGAGGAATCTCATTGGCTCCCTGGTACTTGGCAGGAGCCAATGAGAATGAAGGGGATGGAGTTGGGAGGGAGGCCACCACCACCACCAAAAAAAAAAAAAAAAAAAAAAAAAAAAAAAAAAAAAAAAAAAAAAAAAAAAAAAAAAAAAAAAAAAAAAAAAAGGCTCCAGCCAGACTATTAATGCTTTGCTACGTTAAAGTGAAGGGGAATATTGTGAAGTTATGGTGGGGTCTCTTTTAGCGTGGTGTTTTCGGGTGTCGATGGGCAGTCGTACTCGACGGACCAGGGCTGAAGAGAATAAGCAATTAAGAGACAGCTTTGTGCAGACTACCCTGGGTTTCTCTAATAATTCACTGTCATTGCCAGTCTGGAACAAGATGCAAGCAAGGCTGGGAACATTTAACACCCTTAACCCGCTGCCACACACCGTTTGGGGACCGTAATTGTGCTAAACCTCGAGGCAGGAATGCTGTTGCGGTGGTGGTGCTGGGGTTCTTCCTCTAGTCTTGAGCCGAACCCCAAATAACCTACTGCCGTGTGAGTGAGCCGGCTCTCTGTGTCAACTGGGACTCAACATGTTCCCTGCCCAAGGCATTTGAGTAGGCTCCCATCCTAATGTTGCCATGGGCGTCTCAGTGGGTCGTAAGACCGGGCCCAGCCAAATCTCCAGTTCTAATGCCTTTCACGTGGCAAAACGCAGCAGCGAAAAAAAAAAAAAAATGTCACTGGGTTTCCAGACCAGCGTTATAAAAGGGTCACCCACTGAAGCTTTTTGAGCCCCAGGCTCCCAGCTAGCATAGTAAGCAGTTCTGGGTGCCAATCATGCTTAGTCGCTTGGTTCCCAGCAGTTCTTTAAAACTAGGGGGGGGGAGGGGATGTACCCCTACAGGGCCCCTCTGCTCCTCCACAAAGTCTACAGACCTTACAAACATTGCAGCTTGCTCTTACCTATTGTCTGAGCTGTGGCTGTATCCCACACCTTTTCTTTAATAACTGGGCAGGGCTTTGAGCTGAGTGATTTAAAACACACACCATAAATTGACTTCTATTGGGTTATAGACCAGGCTGGTTTATTTACACCCTGGAGGAGGCTCAGCCTCTGCCAGATCCCTGACTTCAGAGATTTTGTGGCTGGCGTCCAGCAACATAAAAGGATGTTTCCTTGTAACCGGAGCACTTCCTAAAACCACAGGCAGTTTCAATCAATTACCATCTCTGGACGCAATGCAAAAATTTTAGGGGACTCAAAAGGACCGGGACTGGTTTCGACCACAAGTCTTTCTGGATCCATAGCAGGAATTGATTTGATTATTGATTTTTTTTTCCTTGTCAATTGCTGGGTCCTCCCAAGTTGCTGCAGATTTGGGAGGACGGAGGGTGGGGCAGTAGCAGAAAATAGGAAAAGGTGAGACAAAAAGCTTTCTACACAGGCCTTCTTTCTCTCTCAGCCAAACAAAGCCGAGGCTCTGTTCATGTCCACCCCACAGCATTGACGGAAAACACAGCTCCGTGTGTGGACCCTAATTGCACCCTTCAGGTGACAGGTACCATGTGAGCCTCATTTCAAAGCCAAAGTCAGGGTTGAATAAATCTGATTTCAGACAGTCGGCATTTCAAAATAAAAGTATTCAGTCTGAGCCTCAAATGGAAGTCCCCCTGCAGTCTGCAGGAATCTGATACGGCGCAGGCAGGCAGGCTGGCTGTACACTGCACATTGTTCTTAGTTCTCATAAAACCTGACTGCCTAACAGAGCTGGCTGTCCCCTCCCAACTGAGCAGAGCCCCCAGGACCAGGGCCAGAAGTGTAACATGCATAGGAAAGATATTACAGTCTGCAGTGGGAAGTTCAGAGCCATGCAGTGTCCCTCTTTTCATATTTCAGTGCATTAATGAGTTGGATATTATTTTATGTTTACTGCAGGAAATGACTGAAAAATCAGAAGCTCTCTTTCATGGTTTCAAAAATAAAAGGTCTGCGGATGCAGCCTGGTGGAGTGCTTGCCTAGCAGGTATGAAGCCCTAGGTTCCGTCTCACAAACTGATTGTAGCGGCACAAGCCTACAAGTCTAGCAATGGGGAGGGGGGACACTGGAGATTCAGAAGTTCAAGGCCATTCTCAGCTACCCAGCGAGTACTGAACTACATGAGACCATCTCAAAAGAATCAATAAGTAAATAGAAGGGCCACGAAGCCAGATGAACAGGCTATATCAGAAATCTAGCACTTGAACCACACATGTTCATTCCAAGCCAGCCTCTAACATGGAGCCTCCAAACATCCAACTTGTACATTATTAATGCTTTATGAAAGCACTGTCTTTCCTCCGTGCAAAGAACTTACAGAGTCCCACAAATTAAAAGACCTATTTGGTGATGACTGGCGAGCCTGGGTCAGGACAGAACAGGGACACTGCATTTGAATGAGGAAAGGGGCCTCCACCAACAGACTTCAGAAATGAACACGTTTTCATTGCCACTGCATGAACTACAAGCTAATTACGCTTTGTTGGAAGGGAAGCAAATTATACTGATTGTACAATAAAAGCTATTGTCAGTCTCAGTGTATCCATCATGACTCCGAAAGATGCAAAAATATTGACTGGCTCGAAATAGCATTTTACTTTTCTCTCTAGGCAGCAATTTTTAAGGCACAGAATGTCCAGAGATGGTTCTGTTAACTAGTCATAGGGCAGAAATCCGACAAGAGAAACAGCAGTTATGAACAGATCATCTGTGAGTGACCAAGTACTTTGAGGGAAAGGCCAAACCTAGCAGGACCTCAAGAAAGAGTTAATATACATACATATATATATATATGTGTGTGTTCTTAAAATTCCCAGCAGTACCTACAGCAACAAGAATATAATGAAGCCCACTGACATCTCTCAAAAGAAAGTGATTAATTAAAGTAATTAGACTCCACTGAATTATTAAAATATAAAGTCTTCTGCAGGATGACCAAAAAAAAAAAAAGGCAGAACATTTTTGCTGCTCAAAAAATTAAAACCATATTCTGGTTCATTAGCTGAGACAGGAACTCACACGTTTTAGCCTACAATCTTATTCACAGATGCGTAAGTGTCTAATATTTCACACCTTTGTAATAGTTCTTGTAAAAAAGAAAAGGGGGGAAAGAGAAGAGAAACAACAACCCCATTTCAATTATTCCGTTGCTCATAGAGAAGAGGAGATCTTTTGAAAAGAAGACAAGGCGTCTCTGGGGCTTGCTTTAAAAATGTCTCCAGGCTTTGAAAGGACAGGTGTGTGGGTCCAGGACTAGAGCCAGGCTGAGGACAGTGAAGGACAAAGAGACATTGCTCAAAACATTCCTCAGTTGTGTCTTCAAAGTGTCCATGTTTCTCTGGCTAAATAAAACTGAACTGACACCCGACTCACAACCACTCACCATATTGCACAGCCCCCTATTTCCCCTCTCTCTGAAACCTATGCCTTCCAGACACATCTGTCTGCTTCCAAACCATGTTCTCACTTGGCTCAGCCCTGGCTGGAGCACACTTGATTCCTTAATGGAGCATAGCCTCTGCTTCTGCCACAGGGAGAACCCAGTTCCAACTCCTTTGCTCCACTCTCCTAGGAGTTCACACTTGGACCAGGACCAATTATAGTTCTCCTGCTCTGAGAGCTTCTACTTTGTCCTCTGTCTTCAGAGCACATGGTGTCCATGGCCTTCTGACATCTGCCCTCATCTAATCCTCCAATGGGTGTTTAATGTCCCCACTGGAGAAAACACTGGCTCTGTCATATGTTATCATGGCTTTGGGTTACTAAACTTATTTGGACCAAAGGCTGTCTATGTAATTAAATGGGCTAGTGCGCACGAAGAGCACCCGGGCCTGGTTTGTGCTCGCTTCTCCATCAGACATCACTATCTTAGGACTGTTTTTCCTTATCATGTGCTCTGCCCTTCGGGCAAACTTCTCACTGTTTTGTTGATGCTTCTCCACCAATATGCCATTGTTCAAAAGCCTATCAAAACCTCCCAATCCTCCAGGCTTCACTGAAACATCATGATCTACAAAATCCTTTCCCAGACTCAGCCCTGCTGGTCTACCCAGCCCCTCCTCAGCATCTTGTCTCCATCTCCCTGAAGATCACCAGTGCCCTGTGTTTTGCTCTGTGGTTTTGATGGTATGGGGGGAGAGGGCACATCTCCCCTTTTATCCACTTCACATTTGTAGCAGAAAGCAGTTGTGTTATATATTATCCAACTTCCGCTACATGGTCTTGGAGTCACATGACTAGTTTAGACTGATGAATGGCCTGTGAGCAGCGGTAACAGTTTGTGAGTCGGTGTTCCTTGTCCAACCTTGTCTTCCCTTCCGTGGGAACTGTGGAGCTCACACAGGAAAGCTCAGATCTAAGGTGGCAAGCATTCCTGAGTATGGGTTCCAAGTGACACATGGAACAGACAAGTCCCAACGTTTTTCTGAATTTCTTGAGCAAGAAATAAGCATTCACTGTGCTAATTCTTTAAGTGTAGACTTTTATTACTTTAGCATAATCTTGTTTCTACTGATGTAATAGCCAACTTTGCAGTGAGGGGGAAACTTAGAGCATAGGAAGTATCTTATATTCAAATGATGAATAAGTGATGTACAAAACCTCCGGTATTATTCCTCAAGAGATTAAAATACACTTTTTTTTGAAACAGTGCCTTTCACTAGCCTCACCAAATAGGCTCGCCAGGAAGCCCCATAGATCTCTGCCTCTCAATAACTGACTCTCTTACTAACACGTATGATTACATATGTTGCCCAACTCAATTTCAAGCATTTGCTTTTGACTGTTGAACTATAGTGTTGAGCTATAGAAATCTCTCATGGGTTTTCTCAGTTGTTCAAGGAGCCATATCGAGCAGCCCTGGGCATGCACTTAGTCAGACCTGTTGATGAATGAAGATTCATTCTCAGTTGACTAGTGTACCAGAGTCTACTCCATCTAAGGCCCAGGGAGAATGCCATCTGAAGGATTCCCAGCAGCTACTCCTGACTCCATCAGTCAGTGGGGTGTAGTCTGATGCTGGTCACGTGGTACAGTGGCCATCCCAGCTTGGACTCCACAGTTTCTTGATGAAGATAGAGGACTGAAAAGATAGAACTGCTTTTTTAATACTTCAGGTAGTATTCATTGGCCCCGATTGTATCAGAGCTTTCATTGGGTAGTATCTCTCTTATAAAGAAGAAAATATAATGAACATATTTCTAAACTTGAACTTGAACATTCCCCTCCCTTGCTGACTCTAAAGATACCATGAGATTATTGGTGAAATTATTAAGGCAACTCCACATAGTTAAAAGGGAGGTTTATTTTGTGGGGTAACTTACAAGTGAAGGGATAGGTTACAGGGTCTGGGAAAGGTGTGGCACAGACTGGCGGTGTTCTCTGGAGAACTCTGCTCGGTCTACCTCCAGCATCCAGGGTCCGGGAACCAAGAGAGCTGGTGCATCCGGATTTCGGGTCTTCAGAGTCCTCTCTCAGCCCCGCCTTGTAGGCGTGACAGTTACCGAAGCCTCACTGGGGGTTGGAACTTCCAGATCAAAGCTGGAATGGCTACCCACTACCATGAGACACCAAACGGGTACGGGCAGAGTTGAAGGGCAGATCTCAGAGCAATATTCTGCCATCTTCATCCCAGATGGATGAACTAGGTGATGCATGCAAGGCCTTCCACCCCAGAGAAACTCTTTCTGTAGTCAGAACCCAAAAACCCAAGTTCAAGTAGAGCTCCTCCTAGTGAGGAAATAGATCTTCCTGTCTGGTTAGCCATCTGCAAGAAGCTTTTGCCTTTCTTCCATCTGCAGGAGATAGGGAGCTGTTTTTCTCGCCTTTATTCCCAAAAGGTTTGCTGTAGTAAACACTAATTGGGATACAATGGAAAAAAAAAATGCTTTGAAAAAAAAAATTCACCAACATTTTCCTTCTGGCCTCTTAAGAAAAGCTCAGACCCTAGAATGCTTATGCAAATACCTATGCTTTTCTGCAAGCACCTAGGATATGCCCTAACTGCTGGTGAGAAGAGGCATCTCAGAATTGAGGCATTGTGCTCCATTCACTGTGATGGTCAAGGAAGCTGACACAGAGGTAAAAGCAACTCACTGAAGAAGGGGTAGGCTGAACCTGAGAACTTTCTCTAGGGATTGGGATTTAAGAGAGAGCCAAAGAGGACGAAAGGGTGGCAGGTTGGGTGAATGAAGCTGGAGGAACTCTCCAGCTGTGGTATTTGCTCTGAACTAGGATCCCTAACCTCAGGACCCTAGCCTCAAAAGAGGAAAGTGACCAAGCATTTTTAGGAGGCTAGTACATACTCACACCTCATCTGGAGTAAGGTAAACTGATTAAACTGGGTTCTTTCCTAAGATTTCAGAGTCTCAAAGAGAGCATGGGAGCATCAGATAATCACTATCACGGCCACTTGGACAATCTACCAATGGTAATTGTGCCATAGGTCCAGGCACCTCTCAACTGCCCTCTTAATTGGTTTTCTCTTTGCCAGCTATTGTTAGGAGCTCTAAATGCCAATTTGCCCTGTGGGGCACTGCCTCAGAGTAGCAGAATCAGCTCAGAGATGCCAGGGCAACCAGGATGTCAGGCTGTTCCAAAGCACTAAATGGGCAAGGTCGGGATATCCAAGGGGGAAAAGGCTGGCTGGAGTTGACCAAAGGCAATCTCAGCCGAGAGACACAGGCTTTGTCAGGTCACTGTTTAAAATGCAGAAGGGAAGCAGGGCTGCTCTCTGGAGCCAGGTGGGAGCCAAGGCCGGTAATTAAGAGGTAAGCAACACTGTAGCCAGTGGGCTGGGAATTCACTAAGCAGATGGTGGAGGTGGAAGTGCAGTTGCTCCCCAGCCAAGTGCCCTTGTGCACAGATGTCATTGTTGGGTGGGTGTCCTACCAAGGACTCCAGATCTTTGACACAGCAGTGCAGCTATCCTGCTCCCGATGGAGACATATGGTGGCACACCCATTCCTACCCTTCACCCCGAGGTTGGTGGAGACAGTGCTGATCTTAGCCACAGAAGCCTCAGATTTAGGGATATTTTATTCTCCTGCTCAGCCTTTGAGATTTTCCTCTCCTCTCCTCTCCTCTCTCCTTCCCTCTCCTCCTCTCCCCTCCCCTCTCCTCTTCTCGCATCTCCTCTCCTTTCCCCTCTATTTTCTTTCCCTTCTTCCTTCCTTTCTTTTTTCTTCCTTTTCTTTGCACTCATAAGAGTGACTATCACTTACTGTACCCAAGATTGTGCACCCTGGAAATTCTAAGATTAATAAGACATGATTCCTATATTCCAATTCAGTTTAGACAATGACACACTGTATCAGCACGCTGAAATGATACAGCTCCTAGGGGTAAAACTTCACATAACCGACCACTGCTTTCTTCTTACCACAGTCAACTCTGCATGTGAGGGTACCACACTGGTTGGCCTCTGGCTTTAAGTATCAAATATCAAAATACATAGCAGTTTCCCAATTTTACATCTCCAGCCTACTTCTCTCCTTAGCTCTAAATCATTTACCACCTGCTCCCTGAGACTTGTGCCTGGTAGACACCCCATACTCACTTAGCACCTGCCTTCTGACTCTCCTCTCCTTCGGTCTTCTGTCATGTCACCACCAAGCTACCCCCCT